GGGGATTTGTTTGAGATAATGGGATTTTAAAAGTGAAAAAATGGCTGAACTTAGGTCTTTCAACTGAATTCAAGCAAGCAGCACTCAAAAATGCTTTCTTCTAAACCACCAAAGTTATCATATATAGAAATATAAATTCTAGCTTCTTTTTTCTTATTATTATTTATTCCTAATTTTGATGAGTCACTAAGGGATTATGAGTCAAATATGTTAGGGATTCTTGCTTAAAATACTTAAAAATTCCAAAGAGCAAAATTGATGCTTAAGTGGCCCAAATTAGTAGCATGACTGCTACAATGTCCTTGAAGCAAATATTATCTACTGCATCATAGTCTAAGGTTGGAGTACTAAATTCATGGTCTTGTTTTGTTTTGTTTTAGCATATGAAACTTTGATATCTGGACAATAAGAAACCCTGTTATGTAGAATCTCTCTCAAGGACATATCTTATTAGCTATCATTGACACAATGATACTTTGCACTTTAAACACCTTTTACTCTGCATCTACTCCAAGTGCTGTAAGTTCATAAACCAAGATCTCTACACAATGGTAACAGTAGAAGAAAAAAATACTGTGAGCAATGCAGAAGTTCTCCAAAGCTTTATCTGTCACCTTTTAGTCACTTTTTTAAATCATCCCATTTTGCTAACTTAGGGAGGGGGTAAAAAGGTCCATGAGATACATTAGCAAAAATGTCTTGCCTAAATTAATGGAAGCAGATAGAATATATCTCTTCTAGAAAAATATGATTCTTGTTAAATAGTTAGGGACAAAAATTGCTAAAATCATTCCTTATGCCTCATCTGATTTTAATAGAATTTGAAAAAGCATATATCAGTACTGGTCACTTTGATAACGAGCTTTTCCTATGAACTTGAACACAAGAATACTGCCAATGATCTGAAAGCAAGACTGTTGATTTTATCTCACCTTATTTCTTAAATTGTATTGCCTAAATACTTAGTCTTTCAGTATTTTATCGTATTAAAATAATTTCCCTCTACCCTCTAAGTAACAGTGGGAACATGAATCGCATACATTCATTACGTGGAATGCAGATATTAGACTTTCCTTTCTGCTTCAGTGTCTCCATCTTAGTTCCTTAGAGAACAAATGCTATGTCAGGTTTCATAATTATAACTTGTGATGAAAGCAATGTATCTGACAGCAACAAAAAAAAAATCAAAAAATTCAAAACACCTATATTGCCATCTTTTGTTGTACAGAGCTGCCTTTATACCCAACAGACTAGATGCTTTTGGTAAAGTTGCAAGAAAGCAGAAAAAATTCACCTAATATTAAGTCAGTTACTTGGAATTATATTCATGGATATCCACTGATGATTTGGTCCTATAAGCTACAAGACTGTTACTTGACACCAAATGCACACTGCATGACTTTGCCACTACAAATAAAACTGATTAAAATGTTAACCTTAAAAATGTAGTATTTGTTGAGAAATATGTAATATTGTTTGGTTGCAAAATACTAGGAAATATATGTATTTTATAAAACAAGTGTGCTGACTTGTGTGTCTATTTGTAGCAACATACTTTAGATATAATGGATATATCCACATTTTATCATCTAGATTAAATGATCATGAATACAGACCTTAAAAATATGAAATTATGTCCTTTGATACATCATAACTTAATTTTGCTTATTTATATCATATGCAAAGGAAAAATGTGAAGCCTTAAACTATTTTCTCAAATCACATTCTGCTTTGCATCTCTAAGTTTTAAAGATGAAACAGTTGGAAGCAAAATTCATATACCTATAAACCAAAGAAGGGTACAGTTTTAAGCCATTATGTCAAGAAATGACAACTGTACTCTTTGTAGAAGCAGAGATGAATAATTACAAAGCTGGGACATAATTAAGCAATTTTGACTGTCGTATTCTTGAGCTGTCTTTCTGATCTGAAATGCTGTCATGCCCAGAAACACACTTCACACCGGACAGGCATATTCCACTTTGATCTACACTTATGCCAGTGAAATGAGGTCATGGACTGGTCATTAAACAAGGCTTCCTCATCTGGCTCAATGCCTCTTACCCAGCCAGACTTACCCATTCTTTATTAAAAGCAGGCATGATACAATGTTCAATATTTTGACAAAAGAAAACATAAACATCACAGAATAATGAAGTTTAGCTCACTTACATAGTGAGATGGAACACTGCATTGTAACATTAAACTGTTTTCTAATAAATGACTGTATCTTTCCATAAGACAGTCATATCACAAACAGATGCATTTTCAACAAAGGATGAAATGAAGCAAAGCACAAGTGCTGTTTAAAAAAAAAAAAAAAGGGAAAAATGAAAGTAGAAAAATTTATACAAAATAAAATATTTATGACTTAGTGATGACTGGTGATTGCTAGATACTTTTGCATTTGAGTAAACACAAGCTAGTCAGATGGAAATTTCTCACTTTTATTCTCATTTTGTGTATTTTTCCTTGGTGGGGTATTTTGCTCTCCCAAGTATTTCATGTCAAGACTAAAATGAAAACAACTCCCCACATCAGAGCCTCTTTAGATCATCAGTCTGCTTTTTATGCTGAATAAGCCGTACCATCTCCTGCTTATCATAATAAGGAAAAAAAACCCATCACCTAAGTCAGGATATTTTGGAGTTTTTTTTTGAAAAAGCAGGTCTGATAGGCTCACTACTACATCTGGCAGAAGATTTCCATGTTGCATCAATCCAACCCCTTTTCTGGCAAGCATAGGCTGACACAGTGGCACCTACCTTAGGTGAAAGGAAAAAGCATTATTGAGAAGTTCACTGTCATCATGGTCTTACATGACTAGGTCAACTTATTAAGGAGTTTTTCTGACAACCAGTACTGGATGTGCTTCAATCTTCCTCTCAGTTTGGATCAAGGTGTCTTCTCTAACTAGTTTCAGAAAGCTTAAATTACATTACCACTAACTGTTAAATCTGACTGAAGCTGATCAAGAATCACAACAACTATATGTGAGGGGAACTGATGAACAGAGAGCACAAGATTCAGGAAATCTGAAGGCTAAAGAATAAAAATACATTATGTATTCAATGTATAACATAGGACAGAATTTGAAAGTACAGTTATTGTGCACACCATTTTTGTGATATATGGAGGAATGCTGCTTGATATGGTCTTTGAGTACAGATCTCAATAGCTACATACATAAATATCTACATCTGTAGACACATGTAGAGAGGACTCTAGGAGTGTTCTCAGGCACAAAAAGAGTTTGCACGCATGTTTATTATGAGCATGAATATCCTAGGAAACAAGCACAGATTCAAAACAATTCTAAGAAGTTTATAATATCAGTTCTGCATCCAATTTAATATTTCTTTTAAATTAGCCACTTCTGTAATATGTATATAATTGTATGATGAGGGTAATTTTGTGGCACTGTAAGAAGCATTAATTCATGTCATGAAAATAGTTTAAAATGATTGTGCAATCAGTAATCTGTACTGAAGCATTTATTAAGAAGAGAAAAAACCCCAACCCTTTAGTATGGCAATACCTACAAGTAAATTGGAGCCTTCTGCAAATTTGCTGAAATAAATGTATGGTTTATCATAAGACTTAGTGGGTAAATAATTCAAAACTATACAAAAGCTTCAATTATAGATACAAAAGATAAAGATATTACACCAAAATTTGTGAAGTAATTTACCCTTAAGTATTGATTTAAAAAGAGGATTTGTACAGAAAAGTAACTTCAAATTTGAGAAATAGACACTTTTTTCTTCTCTTACACTATTAAGTTGGTTAAAACTCACAGAATAGACTCTTAAATGAAAAATGCTAGCAAAACCTAAAAAACCCCCCACTTCACTAGATCCCAAATCTGATTAGATAAGAAGAATTCTAAGAGAAGATGACACATGTATGCTATATCTAACACAATTCAGCTGTTGCATTTGGCCAGATTCAAAGATGGTTTCTGTGTATAAGTTATCCACAATAGCTTAGAAATAAATTATTTCATTTATTACATATAAGAAGTTGAAATAACTAAAGGCAGTAGTAAACAATATATCAAAGCAATGCTTGTATCAGAACTGTTAACATTTTAGTAGTTATAAATTAATCAGTCTGAATTAATTTGCAATGCAGTGCAATTGTACTCATGATAATGCATTTATCCACCAACACTGTTATGCTAACCAAACAGTGTATTTCCATAACTGCTGCATTATTATTCAGCATTATTGGAAATCTGCAATAAATTATTGATTGCATATTTTAGAGAACAAAACAGCAAACAGGAAACAAGTAGACTGAAAACTTGAGCAGAGTTTTAAGAAAGACCTGTAGTACCAAAGTACTCTTCAGCTCAGATTGCTGTTATCATGTATTGATCAATAATGGAAAAAGAAAACGAAGTGGAGAATTCATATTCATGTTCTGACTGCTTCAGTAGTATGTAGTAGATGCAAGTGGTATTAAATGCTCAGTTTACTGAAACTCTCTGATGTTGTCAATGCTTATTAGTAAGAAATGACATTAAGTAACATCATACAAAATTAGAATCAACTGGTCCACTAAAGCAAATAAACACCATAGGTGTGAGCTCTGCAACAGATATTTGAGTTTAATATACAAGGCAGGGGACAACTTCTCAGAAAAATTGCATTCTTTCACAAAAGTATATCATACAGTTGTTACATATCCTTGCCTTGGACAGGGTAAAATATTCTTTGAAGCAAAGCAACACATTAATTAATTTGCTATATGAAACAGAGGTTGAAAGCAGAAATTTGATAACATGACCACAATCCAGTAACCAGATGTAACTGTAAATTTTTATATTAAAACACAGAAAAAACTACTAAGGCTTTAGTCTCTCACCTGGCCACATTTACCAACCCTTTCAATTGGTATCATATGTTATTTTAGCAAAAGATGGAGTTATTTTGGTGCTATTTAAAAGGAGTGTTAAGGACTCATATTATAGTTACTACTTCCATTTACTCTCCTACCTTAGCATCCTTGGGCTTAACCACTTTCATGAAGGCACCTCTTACCAAGGCTTCCTCTCTCTCCCTCGTGGTTACTTTCCGAGTATCGAGAAATTTCAGGTTTGTCAATTTGTGCAGGACAAAATATCTGCCAGAGATCAAAATGCACACAATTAAAATCCAGTAATAAACAAAGACATACAGACTGCATGGCTAAAAAATAACAGCAATAAACAAGGGTCTTTGTTTACTCTCTCTGTTCACCTTTTTCATGCAATGTAGCTTATGTAAAAAGTTATAATACTTACTTTACTCTCTAAAATGAAGCTCATTTTAAACTGCCCTTAAAAATTTAATACGGGGTGGATCAAACATAATTATCACCATGGATATGTATGTTCCCTGTAGGTGTTAGTGAGGTATAAAGCATAGCAAGAAATAGAATAACTTGGAAATTGTTTTGAACTGCCAGTTTGGAGAAAGGAATGGTGAGTGATACCAGAGATTTCATCCCATATTGCAGGGGAAAAACAACCTGAGACATGGGAAACTGCCAGCTATCTTCTCTGAAAGAATTCTCAGAAAACATTCACTTGCCAATACTTCTTCAGATTTTTATTATATTTTCCTAATAACACAATGATCAGCAACATTAGAGAATGTGAAGAGCAAATCAGGGAGGGGCATAATTTGTCCTCTACCAAACATCCTAAATCACCATCCTTTTTCCTGAAAGGACTCTATGTCAGTGTTCAAAACTCTTAACATTAAAAGAAAGAATTTGTAACAAGAAAACAGAGTTATTCTGGATCTCTGCTTTCCAGGACTACATTTTGACACAGGCATAATTTGGAAGGAGAGCTCCAATTTAGTCGTGCCAGAGAGAGAAAGTATCCTTATGGCATACAGAGCCCAGCTCAGGATTAAGTGCAGAAGCATACAGGGAGACACTATAGGAAATGTATGTTAAGAATTCAAAGTTATTGCTGGGATTCATGAGTACTATACTCTACTTCTCATTTTTACTCTAAGTACAGCAGCTTTTTAGCCTCAGAAAAATACCACTGGCTCTTTGCTTGCAGAGGGAGAGAACATGGCACATCAAAACCAAATAAGGCACAACACCATGGCAAATCCAAATATCTAATCATCTTAAGGACAAGTCATTTGCATTCAGTCAACCAAATGTGAACCAGACACTGCAAAGTGAGGGAAGTGCCAGACTTTTCCTGGCAGTGGTAGAAAGGTGATTGATAATGTTCCCCATGCCTAGCTGCTTTGCAAAAAACTCCAGTCAGTCAGAGAGCTCCTCTTCATACAAATCCCTTCTGGCACTGAGAGGAAGAAATCAAAGTTGTAGAAAATCCTGCATAACATTTTGAAAGGGAATGACACACAAAAAAATTGTTTTAAAAGGTAAAAATACTGTTGTCAAGACCAGATAAATATGTGAAAAAGACTCTAACACTCCCCCATCTACAACCAAGCAAAATTTAATGGTGCAAATAAACTTTCCCATCAAGTACACCATTCCTCTGAGGCAACAGCTTCATAAATTGCTAACAAGTGAACTGAAAATGCTCAGTTCTGAAATGCTCAGACAATTTAAACGTGAAACCTCAATCTATGGCATTCAAGGATATTAGCAGAAGAAAAACAGAGAGTCAGTTTACAAAACAGAACATCTCCTAAGACCATTTATTAAAAACCAGCTACAGATCTATGAGACAGACATATTCTCATACTACTTCCAGCTTTCCTGGCTGCCCTTCCAGTCCTCCCTGGCATTTTGCTGGCCCTTATCTTTCAGTGGACAAGAAGCTATCCATTTTGCATTACTGGCAGAAAAGCTCTTATGACAACAGATTCTTTCAAATGAAGACATGTACAGAAGGAAACAATATGTCAAGAGTGAAGAAGAGTGAAACTAAAAATGAGTAAAGACACCCACTAAGTGCAGGGTGAGAAAAGATGAATATTCAGGTGAAGAAAACATCGGTATTAGAAAATCAGCAAATGTTTAATGATGGAATGAAATATGCCATTGAAAAGCAGGCTGCAACAAAAATGACAACAGACTAAGACAGCACTGTCATCTATGCTGACTTTGGATCACAGCCCTAATGTCAGTCTCTCAATCATTTCAAAAGAGCTTAAAATTATAATAGCATTCCTTGATACAAATGTATTTTTGTATTTTTAAGCCATCCTGACTGCACTTCAAAAAACAGAGTTAGCACTTGTACTTGTCAATTCCAGAAACAAAACTAAGAAACTCTACCCACACCAACTAAACAGCAAACTACACCACAAATCATAGGTTTGGAGTTGAATATTCTTTAAAGTTGCAATTCTTAAGGAGAGCAAATATTAAAAAGCAAATTCTGTAAAGGTTATCCCACCAGTAGAAGGATGTTATATCAGTGATTAATTATTTTAAAAGATGATTCAAAATAGAATCCCATTTATTCATATTCCATTTAGTAAATGTGGGATAAAAAGTATAAATGTTATTTGAAAATAAAATAATACATGTTTATTAAATGTCAGAAGAAAAACATCAAGCTTCTTGGATATAGTTTAGCTAGAAATATGAAGATGCGGCTTCAATCTAAATGTAACACAAGTTTGCCATAAAAAATACAGGAAAGGATTACCAAAGCCTGGGAATGAACACTTTACAATATCAATTCAACCCTTGTAAATTTAATCCAGGGTTATTTGTTGCACAAAATCTCTTTACTGTGATGTATGACTTAGTTACTAAGGTTATCACAGCAGTATCCTAAAGTTGCATAGTACATAAAGCATTTCAGTTAACAATGCAGGGAGGTTAACTCCCACAGATAACCTACTATCAGAGGGTTAGACCAGATGACATGCCTCTGTCAGCTTTCAGGAGCTATTGATGGTTCAATCAGTTTGTTTTGAAGGTAAAGTACAACAAAAGGGCACTAAACTTATTCAAACTGTCAACAGGGACTATGGAATGTTGCTTGCAGGTAAGTAATTTTGGGTGTTTTAAGACTATTATCAAACACCAATGGCTGCAGAAAAAGACAGCTACTAATAACACAGAATGCAGCCATCATAAAATACTTTATGGCAGGTACTGGGACCCATAAATTGCATGACACATTGCACCTGTTTTAGACTTGTAAAATCACTAGTTAAAAGAATGCTATTTAATGAAGAAAGATCCATCTAAATTTTTCATTATAAGTTTAGAAAGGTTTATTTTAGGTTAGAAGTTGGGGGGCAAGGTCTCCCTGTCCTCTCTTTCTCCTAGTAATTTTGAAACTTAGTACTGCTCCACATGCTCCAAGACTGCAGTTACTGAGTTTTAACATCTTTGCAGTGGTGTGAAAAAAGGTTATTATCTTCAGTGATAAGGATAAAGGTGAGCATCAGAGAGAGAAAATAAAAAATCAGAGTCATCAGGAAGGTGCTTAGAGATCTACTTATCATTGCCTGTAAACTGATCTTCTGATTCATGATGGATTAAATAAATCATGTAAGTAAAGTTGCACCTTGTTTTGTTCAGAATCAGTTTACCCACCTTGACTCCCAGTGCCAAAAGTCTCATGAAAATAAGCTCATAAGAGATGCTCATTACACACTAACAGGAACACTCAGAGATGGAAAAAGACCAGAGAATATCACATTTCATGTAACTTCTGTCTCAGTTAAGTGAAAATGACAACTAAGATTAACAATGCATTTATCAGTTTTGTAAAAGTGCTGCATTATTTTAAGAGCTTTTACACAGACCTTCCAAGATATTGGAAAAGAGGGACAGGCTTGAGGGTATTTGCAAAGGAATGCAGTGAGCTTGGGATTCAGCTGCTGCTGACATTGGCGAAAGCTCAATGGGGCGAAGCCTTCCTTTGAAAAAATATGTTAGAATTCAGAAAGGGACATAACATATACAGCTTTGAGATCAGCTATTTATTGTATTAAACAACACATGGCTAATTTTTAGGTAAAGAAATACTGTCTTTGATACTGACTCACTCCACAGCCTTTGATGAATCACAGAGTTCTCATCTAAACTCTGCCTTGCAAACATGGAAACTATGTACTATCAGTTACCTTTCAGGCATATTCTGTGTATGTTTCTACTGTGCAACAGTCATTACTTAAACATGTAGCCCTTGGTTTATCCCCTTTCCCCTCCCCTCTCCCCCCCAAAAACCCCCAACACTGAAAGTTCACACATTAGGAGACTTTCACAGGTGAAGCAAAAGAAAATGTGTGTTTCTTAAAGGATCACCTGAAAGAACAGAAACAATCAATTTGAAACATTTGCAAGAAATTTGTCAGTCCTGATTCAAAACACAGAGGTGTAAATAACTTTTGTGTCAACTACTTATTTTTGTTAAATATTTACTGTGCAATTTCAGTCCGATTGATATTTTTCAGTAGCCATTTAGGTTCCAACATAAAAATTCCTTCCATTTTAATGAGTTTCGGTACACAACTCCTTGCTACTATCAAACAGTTCTAGGAAACTTTTATTCTAGAGCTATGAACACTGTAATTACAACAAGTCACATAACATAGCATCTAAGGGCCTTGATTAATACATTAACTTCCTTGGCAAAGCAGAGAACTTGTAGAACGTTGTTGGACTTCTGATACTGAAAGAAATGTTATCACCCCTAAGCACAGTCTAGGAAAATCACTTGGGGAATGAATTATTTGGGTTTTTTTCCCTCTTCTGCTACAAGAAAAGTGTAATGTATTTATATATGCATAAAGTTTCAAAGAAAATAAAATCTTCCAGCAAACCTTTAGTGAAAGACTATGGTAAGAACTAGATTCTGTATAGTTTTTCATTTTGTACTTTTATTAACAAAAATGGAATATAAAACTGTACTATATGCATCAATATTTAAGTTCAAAACACAAAACTTTTCTCAGTGAAAAACAGAGAAATATTTGCCCAGAAAAATGCAGAAATATCTAGCTCTACCTGTACCATAACTGCAACATGCTCTTTGTTGCAGAAAGTGTTTACTTTCATTTTTCTATTTTCTGTGCTATTATATTTCCTTTCCTTGACAATCATAGAACATAAAAATAATATACCTATTTCAAATTTTGAAGGGCTGATTATGCTTTCAGTTCTGTTGTTGTAAACTAGAA